ATAGAACGCTGGGGGTCCAGCAAACAGTGCTAAATTTGACACGCTCAAGAATAGACGTGATGAACTGCAACAAAATCTCATTGAACATCGACGCGACCTCCTTTGTACAGTTTAAGATCAGGTTTAACAGTTTAGTGTAATTCTACTATTCAAAAGCTATTTATATTCTAAACCTATTCTTCTACCTCATATTTGTGTATTAGTACAATTAATGTAAATAAACGTTGTAATGATATGATTTTTATTTGCTACGGAATTCGCTCGCCGGATGGAGTCCGGGTACCTATCGTAGTTTCTTTAATAAACAATTACTGAATATTAGGTTGAGCATATCGTAATTATGATTTCTGCTGTGAATTCTAGGAGAGGTGTAGTCAGTAACGAGTCCAAATTTAAGCCTTTGAGAGTAAATATATATTAAAAACCAAAAGAAAATATTAACAATAATAAAAATAAGAAATGTAAAAAAACAATAAGTATAAATATAAAAATAGTGTTTATAAAATAGTATGAAAAGGAACTTAACATTTGTTTCTCGTCGAAAGAATTACATTAGTTAACATTAGAAATTCATTTAAACAAATAATACTAATTCTTATAAAATTATCGGTTCTCGCGGAGTTAAGTCGATACTTTATTCGCATTAGATTTTAGTTACAAGTAATTACACGCTTCTGTTTGCATTTCCGATATAGGGATTTAATTCATATTCGCGAGACAGTTCTAGAATAGGTTTCCACGTTACGCGAGTCCCACGATGCCTATGGTTCGTTCGACCAAAGAGCACCTGGGTAGAACGAACATTTCATTTGACAGCATTTTACTCACCAGAAGAGCACCTTTGTCTAAGTCTAATGCACAAAGTGAGTTCTTACCTGTTAGGCCCGAAGAGCACCTCGAGCCAAGGCGATAGACAAACTGACGATCTGGGATCGTGCAGCGAGATATATCGGTTCGCTCTGCCGCGATACGAGGAGAGCGAGTGGTGGGGGGAGCGGAGGCAGGCGACGCAAGTTTCGTGCGCGGTCGCTACTCGCTCGTAGATCTCACGCTGAACGCGACTACGATGGCTGTGTGTGTGACGTATTCTATTTCTTTATATATTAATACATAGCCCATCGTTACAACGTTAAGGTGTTAATATTTAATTCAAGCAAAATTTGGTGTGCATAATTTCTATCATTTCACATAAAACCCCAAAATTTTGTACCTTCGAGCCGGATTCTAACACGGTGCATCGTTTTGCGCATGAGACAGTTTCGTATGTGAAGACATTACATATGAGATCACGTGTGTGAATTTACTGACGAGTTTTAGTGTGAGTGGTAGAAAAGGACGCCCGTGACGTGGCAGCGTAACCAAGCCAAGCTAAGCGTCGGTGAGTGATACATACGATGAGTTTCGTAAGTGTAGTAGTGCAGTGTATATACAGTGCAGTGCACACAATATAAAAAACTTGTGTACGGGGCCACAGGCAACGTAGTGTGAACAGACTATACATAGACAGTGTAGTAGAGAGAGACAGTGAGTGCTAGAGACTTGTGTGGGACAGAGTCTGCTGCGTCATGATAGAACATTCCCCACCACGGAAACTAGCAAGCGGAGGGGGCGCAAAAGGCACGAATGCTGGAGCGTCCCAGACGCAAACACTACGGCACGAGAAAACGAATTTGAAAACTGAATGAAATTACCACTCGTCGCAGCGAAAGGGTAAATAAGGGACTACCACCTCCTAGGTATGATATGTTTCTACACGAAAAGATTTCAATTCAAAACCAGATAGCTGAAACAAACGATCCGTTAATTTATGCGCGTAATTCGGCCGCGGGTTCTGTAAAATCGACATCATGAAATTCGCGAATCTCCTCTAGATCTAGTACTTTAGCCAGAAAACAGCTGGAGATTAAATTAAAGCGACAAGAAGAATTAGTGGCACTCAAATACGAACAAGACGAACGCGAAAAGGCTTTGATCGAGTGTTACTAACAACGACAAACGTAGACCGTGTAATGAAAGTGTTACGAAATAGATTCGGGCGGGCCGATCATATAATCGAGGACTTTATGAGGAAAGTGACTAGCTCACCAAACGTGAAAGAAGATAAAAAAAATGAATGAAGATTATCACAATAATCCGTTTTTGCCGAAACCGTGACGAATTATTGGCTACAATAGAATCTTTAAATAAAACATCATATTTGTGTAATCCATGCTGGTTAAACAACTAGTAAGCAAACTTCCAGCACTTCTCAAAAGGAGTTGGGCCATCGTATCAGCAAAGAATAAAAATCGGACAAATTTGCAAGTTTTCGCGGATTGGCAGCTAACAAATCCGAACTCGCGAGCACCACCTATCAGCCGTGAAGAAGTGCCGTGAAGAAGAATACCTTGACGAAAAAGGTAAAGACGTTAAGTGTCTTTACTGCAGAAAAAAATCACATCTGTAGTGGTTTAATGGTATAAGAGTGAATTGATAGAATCGATGATTATGAGTGATCGGTAATTGTCGGGAGAAACGATAATTGTCGATGAAATTGTCATGAGTGGGAGGGAGCGATTTTGGGAGAGGCTCTCGAGGAAAGATTTTCCTTTTACAAAATTTGACTATCAAAGTAATCACATCTTGAATATTAAACGATTTACAAAACTACAATTAATATTTAAATTATAAAAGTTAAAATTATTTATAATTGTAAAGTGCCATATCAGGGTATTTTTTAAAGAAGATTAAAGATCTTAAATTAGTTTATCTCCGATGCCCAGGTAAATAAAATATTATAAATATCAAAGAATATTAAAAAAATATTATATAAATTTCAAATGTTAAATAATACGTGTTATAGTGTGGCACTTCATAAGAGGAATATCAATCGTTGAACGGAGCAACCGAAGAATATCCTCAGGGTATTGAGGCCCAAAAATTATTTGATTGTGCATTCGATTAAATTAAGAAAAATCTTTCTCTTCTGACCAGACATTACGTTAAAAAAAGGTGATCGAGAGTCTCCCGAATTGTTAATGGATGAGGAAAAAAAAAAAAAAAAATTCGTTGAAGAATCAACAAAGTAAATTATTATGGTAATGTACTCAGCTGTGTCCTTCGTATTTTCTGTATGAAAATTGTGTGAAGTGATTTTCATATGTAAATTCAATTTTCTATTTTTAAAATTATTTGAACAAAAAAAAATACTGAGTAAATATAATAATTTATACTTATTAAAAATTTATTATTTCGCCTTTTAAAAAATTTTATTACTATAATTTATATAAATATCAATCGAGGATTGAATTAATCAAATAGAAATCAGGAGGTATATGATTATTATAATTTGTAATTTATTTATGTATAATTTAGTTTTTTCTTCATAAAAAGAGATACAATTTTGAATAGTTATCGAATTGTTTTAAAGTACACAAATAATCATTTTTATTTTAATTATAAAAAAAAATAATAATTTAAAGTTGATTATATTAGATTATTACACATCTGACAACCGCGTGTTACGGGTTTCTCAAATTATCCATCGACGACCGCTGGATGAAAGAAAGAAGTATGTTTTGGGTGCTTGACAACTAGCCACAATATTCGATTCTGCAAATCAGCAAAATGCGAAAGCCCGGGTCGTCACCAGAAACATCATACGACCTTACATAACGACTATCTTCAAAAACAACGCGAAAGTAAAATAGAAGAAAAAATTAGACTCCTAACGATAAAACATCCGGAACCGAAGTACAACGTGTAAATTGTACATATAGGGAAAAGAAACGCGTATATCTACCAATTTTGCCAGTAACTCTAAAAGGACAAATACGTGAAATAGAGAAATACGCACTACTTGACAGCGGCTCAACTGTGTCACTAATGTCAGAAGATATGGCGGATCAATTAGGATTGCAAGGACCGGTACAACCGTTAATTGCAACGTGTTCGACGATACCGTTAACGAAGATCGACAATCAAGACAAGTGAACCTAGAGATTCCTGGCGCTAGCTGAAAGATGTACCAATTATAAAACGTTCGAACGACAAAAATGACAATGCCGGTCAATCGATGACAATAAACCCAGAGACGTGACCATATTTGAAAGAATTAAATATCCCAGGATTAGATAACGCAATCCCCACCATTATAATCGGACAGGATAATAAACATTTGCAAAGAGTGTTTAAACAAGTTTCCGGAAAAGTAGGAACACCCTTGGCAACATTGACACCACTCGGATGGATGGTTCACGGAGCCAACTATAGTAAGTGGGGAGGAAGAGAGTTTATGGGTTTCACACGAGAGACTCAAGACGACAGCGAGTTTAGCGAGTTAGTTCGGGAATTTTGGACCTCAGAATCTTTTGGTGTTTCACCATCAAAGAAGACCTTGAATTCCACTGAAGAGCAACGAGCTCGAGATGTTTTTGAAAGTACCTTTCGTCATGTTGACGATCGATGGGAATAGGACTACCATGGAAAACCATGGAACAGAGAATCGGAGTTTAGGGAAAAATACAGAGAAAACATCCAAGCCTACCTTGACAAAGGTTACGCGAAACAACTATCGGACGAGGAAGCGCGACACGAAACGGAACGGACATGGTATTTACCCCACTTTGCAGTGTACAATCCGCAAGAAACCAAAGAAGCTACGCATGGACCTGGATGCAGCGACCAAAAGTCACGAAGTCAGCTTGAACGACCGTTTAGTCAAAGGTCCCGACATACTCGAACCATTGCCAGGATTATTGTTTAAATTTCGAGAGAAAAGGATCGCTATATGTGGAAATCTGCGCGAAATGTTTCACTAAAATCGCATACGAGACGAGGATCGCCCAAGCACCTTGTGGAAAGGAACTAACTTTAATGCAAGAAGATAGCACGAGAGTACTATAGGTGTGAGTTGGACTCCAGATTCCGATAGTTTTTTCTTTTTAAACAAATTTCCGAAACTGACGAATGACATGAAAAATAACACACTACCAACCAAACGACAAATATTAAAGGTAGTGATGTCTTTATTTGACCCTTTAGGACTACTGGCCTCTCTTATAATTCAGGCAAAAATATTGATACAGGATATTTGGAAAGAAGAAACACAGTGGGACGAAAAAGTGTCAGCAGAAATAACTAAACAATGGAGCGACTGGGAAGAAGAAGGTAACGGCTGTCAGACTACCCAATTTAATAAAAAACGGGCACAGAATGCAAATAAACCGTACTGTATTTTGATTGGACTCACAAACTGTTTTAGCCTGGATAAAGACAGATGCTAGAAAGTATCATCCATTTGTAGCTTATCGAATCGCGAAAATTTTGGACTCTACTGCAACAACTGACTGGAGATGGGTACCTACTCGCGAGAACGTTGCCGACGACGCTACAAGGAGCAAAGGACAGGAAGAACTTCAGGATTCAAGTATATGGTACCAAGGACCTGGTTTTTTGAGACTGCAAGAATCAGAGTGGCCTGTGCAGAAGACGACCGATAAATTGACCACCGAGACCATGAAAGAGATGAAGAAGGAATTCTGTTGTGTACTTCATTTGGAAGAGCCAGTGATCCACAGTCACAAGTACTCTTCTTGGATAAAAGCAACACGTATCATCGCGTGGGTGATACGCTTCATTACACATTACAAGGTGAAAGGAAATGCAGTAAGCTGAAAAATATTTATTCAGGCAATCCCAACAAGAATCATTTCCAACAGAATGGAACGCTCTAAAATCGACAAAAGAAATTCCAACAACATCAAAGATTTTCTTATTGCCTCCTATTTTTAAGGACGATGTTATCTGCTTGAACGGAAGGATAACACATAAGGATGGCTCAACTTATCAGCCGATCATACTGCACAAGGATAACAACTTAGTTAAACTGTTGATCCAACATTACCATCAAAGAGCAGGACATCATGTAAGAGAAAGAGTCGTCAACGATCTTCGAGAACTATTCTGGATGACAAACATTCGTTCTGGTGTCAGACGATCTTGGAACGTCTGTTTACTCTGCAAGCATAGACGAACGAATCCCATGGACCCAAGAATGGCACTATTACCCTTACCTCGACTTCAACGCAATATCGCTGCTTTCACGGATACTGGTGTGGATTATTTTGGACCTATGCTAGTAACAATAGGACGTCGACGAGAAAAACGATACGGAGTATTATTTACTTGTTTGACCGTACGAGCCGTCCATGTAGAAATCGCGGCGTCGCTTGACACCGACTCCATGTTAATGGCTTTACGACGCATGATGACGAGGTTTACCTCGCGAGACGAGATAGACCTAAGCGCATTTATTCAGACTAAGGCCCAGATGGTGTATCCTAGCAGGTCCTAAAGGCTCCTATAATGTGCGTATGCATGAAGCACGAAAATTTGAAGCTAAGGACTACTTTATTAAAACCTGAGAATTCCTTAACAAATCTTTTAAAGAAAGGTACCTGTGACATTGACAACAAAGTATGTATGATGGGAACTTGCAATAAATGCCCTGGATTTGATGTAATAAATGACATTGTTGAAGCAAAAATGAAGGAAGGGTCAACAGTTCAATATAAGCAGTGGGTTCATGTGAACAAATCTGACTTAATTACGGTCACCGAATTTCGAAATAAGTACATAGCGTCACTGATAGAAAATTTACTGTCAATTAAAGAGCATCGTTTTGTTTTTAAAAAACACATGGATTATTTAAATAAATTAAAAGAAAGTCTTCCTCTAAATGAAGTGATTGATACCGACAGATTGGCTCAGTCGGATAGATGCCTGGCGTTGGTGGTCGTTTAAGGACCAAGGGTATAAGTACCCTTGGTTCGCGCCCACTTGGCTTGGTATTTTTCCGGCACGTGAGACAATCTGAGCGGGAGGTTTGACGTCGAGGTATAATGATGTGCACCGTCGATTATTGTCCGGTACACACCATTAGAACTCGACTGTCGATAAACCGGTTGTACTCAGAGAGGTTTTCTACAGTTTCCCTCTTCTCTGGCGAGAAAATCCATTGACGGGTGGTCCAGGCGTAATGCGAGTACTCCTAATAAAGTCGGCTGTAGACGCAAAATTAGGTTAATATATATAGAAAATTTCTAAAAGTAGAATGGTTATGCTTAATCCAAAAAAAGTATTTCTCGGGGACTCTTGTCGAAGTGCGTAAGGCCAATAGGGCAGGAGTATAAACAAAAAAAAAAAAAATGAAGTGATTGTACTTGTGGCATACGCTAATGATTATTATGATTAATAAACTTGTCTTTTTATTATTTTGAAAACAAATTAATCTTCTTTTAATATGAAGTAAACTAACTACCTTAGACGTTAGGGAAATCAAATCTTTAATGGACTTTAGTATATGTACAGCAAAACAAAATAAGTAAGACGATTGTATTGACGAGACTTGGACACCTCAGGTAGGACATAGAACGCTGGGGGTCCAGCAAACAGTGCTAAATTTGACACGCTCAAGAATAGACGTGACGAACTGCAACAAAATCTCATTGAACACCGACGCGACGCCCTTTGTGCAGTTTAAGATCAGGTTTAGCAGTTAAGTGTAATTCTATTATTCAAAAGCTATTTATATTCTAAACCTATTATTCTACCTCAAATCTGTGTATTAGTAGAGGAGAACGGGGCGAGGCAGCCAAGACGGCACATTTTGGTTTGCGAGGCAACCATTTAAATAGGTTTTTTAAATTTTAATATCGCGTTAGAAAGCTTGTCTTTTTGGCTAAAAAATCGCCATAGAACATTTTGACGTAGGTTGCACTTAAAAATTTCTACAACCCTTTTCTCAAAGGACCACAATTTGGCATAATTGCAAAAACGTGGGGTGAGGCGGCCAACTATTTTAATAGTTAAAAAAACATAACTTAAAGTTAAAATTAGTGAAACATAACAAGGTAGTTGTCCTTAACTTACTTTTATTTTGTTAAAAAATAAAAATTTTTTTAAAAAATTAATTAAAAAAAATTTACATTTTAATAATATTATAATAATAACATTAATTAAATTCAATTTAACATTTTAAGGAAATACAAATTTGTTATTTTAAAAAAATGGTTTATAAAATTCAATGTTAAGTTTAAAATGTATTGGAGTAGGAAAAAAAGAGAAAACATTTAGAAGAACCAATAAAATCAACACGAAAAGACGAAAAATTTAGCGTTGGCTGCCTGCCCCCACGAGTACTTTTTAAGAAAACATTAACAAAACCCGTAATATTAAAAATATCGCAATTCCATTAACACCATCGTCTTCAGCACTAAATTCTGCATTGAAAATCGCTTTACAAGAATTTTATTCGTGTAACTCTATTAACTAAAATCACCAAAATAACTCTTAGAAAAGTTACATCCAAAAAATCTATTTTCATAGATGATACTGTCATTGGTAAACTGCTGCAGCAATAATGCCCATCTGTTAGCAACTAAAGTAAACTACCATGCATAAACAGTCTACATTATCAATAGCGCACGATTTAAGGGGACTTTCTGGTTTAGAATTTCAAAAAAATCGATTTTTTTTTGCATAAAAATGTTCCTTAGTATCATAGAATTACTGTCCCAAAACGATTTTTAAAAAATATGTACAAAAACAAAAGTTATAACAATATTTATGACGGTATGTATTTCAACAACAATCTACAGTTATCTTATTTACATATTTGGTGTTCCTCTTTTATTGATATTAGCTTGAAACATGTTACTCGAGGGTTTTTGGGGTCGCTGATTACGAATTTGATGTCAGTTTTTGAAAATACAAAATGGTGGATCCAATATGGCGGACGAAAAAATAAAAATTCAACCGGATTTGCTTAAAACTTGTTACTCGGGGGTTTTTGGGGTCGCTGATTACGAATTTGATGTCAGTTTTTGAAAATACAAAATGGCGGATCTAATATGGCGGACAAAGATTAAGAAATTAATTAAATTTAGTTGAAAATGGTTACTTGTGGCATTTTGAGATTGCTAGTTATGAATATAGGCACAAAACATTAACGTTCTAGGAACGTTTTAAATACATATACACTGAAAAAAAATGCTATAGAATCTAAAGATATGCTATTGCGGGCTGCCAAAAGCAGATATTGTTGAATGAATAGCATATGTTCAAAATCTTAAAGCATTGCGTTTGAATCAAATACTTCATTATCAATTTTGAAAGTAATACTGTCGAATTGTTCATATATGCTATTAATTTAACATTATCTTCTTTTGGTAGCTCGCAATAGCATATGCTTTAGATTTAATAGCATTTTTTCAGTGTATATATCCTAAATTCTAATTGGATTTTGATTTAATGGAGTAAAAGTGTTTCTGACTTTTATGGATGTTTCTTCAATATGTATTGGTTCTAAAACGTTTATAAACGTTTCGTGTCATCCAAATAACTTGAAATTTTAGTTAGATATAAAACGTTTTAAACATCATAGAACGTTTTAAAACGTTGATTCATTTTCGCCTTAAGAGCACATACGACAAATAGATACATAAGAGAAATTTAAAATCATTTATTAACTTTTGACTTTCAGGAAAGTCAGTATGATTGATTTTTAAAAATTGTTAACTTTTTCAATTTCGAATTTATAATTTATTCCGTGTTATCTGAGTTTTTGTATGACCGAGGTACCTCATATTACTTCAGTTATATAAAGTTTTACTATCGTTCATATAAAAAATACTTTTTAATAATAATTCGCACTGAAAAAAAGAAACTGCATTGCTTTTATGACTCCGTAAGAATTGCCAAAGTAAAAAGCTGATTTTTTAATTTATATTTTTCAATGCGTGAAGAATTAATTTTTAAAAAGTTTTAAAACAATGCCTCAAATTGGAGGTTGTAAAAAAGGCAGTCGAAATAATCGTCGATTAAATAAGAGTATAAAAAGAAAATTTCAAGGTAATCAATATAATGCTGAAAAAAATCCTGAATTACAAAGTTCGTCTGCAAAAAAATTAAAAACAAGCGATGATCTTAAACCGCCTGTTGATAGCTCTTTCGGATACGTGATATTGTGTTTTAATTTAGTTTTTTCAAGCCTCTCTCAATTTATAAAGTGCAAAATTTGCCTTGGTGACATTTCATTTACGCAGCAAAAGAACAGAGGTCTTGGCTTTAAAATATGCGTTACTTGTTCCTGTGGGAACAAATTTCTTGATTCTTCGCCAACCATAAGTAAAAACGTTTACGAAATAAATCAGAGAATAGTGTTTGTTATGAGAGTGCTTGGATTAGGATTTAATGGAGTAAAAATGTTCCTAAGTTTGATGTATATTTCTTCATCTTTTTCTATTTGGCTTTATTATTCTATAATTTCAAAAATCCACAAAGCTTCAAAATATTGTTTTGATGTTGTTACTCGAAAAGCTGTTACCGAAGAAATTGAATTGAATATGGAAGCTGGAAATGAAGCTGATAATTTGTCGGTTTCTGGAGATGGCACATGGATGAAAAGGGGCTTTACGTCTTTGATTGGTGTTTTTTCAATTATTGGGAAATATACAGGAAAAGTTATTGACCTAGACGTCAAATCATCATTTTGCACTACCTGCAAGAAACAAAAATCTGAGCTAAGTGAATTAGAATTCGAAATGTGGTACGAAGAACATAAGTTGGAGTGCTCTGCTAATCATGAAGGATCCGCTGGTAAAATGGAGACTGATTCAGCCGTGGACGTTTTTAAAAGATCAAAAGAATTGTACAATGTTTTTTATGGCAATTACATAGGTGATGGGGACAGTAAAACGTACACCAATGTAGTTGACTCAAAACCTTACGGTACTGAGTTTATAATAAGAAAATTGGAGTGCGTTCTTCATGTGGGTAAACGGATGTTTCGTCGATTAACTGAAGTAAAGAAAAAAATTACTATTTTAGAAAAAGAAACAAAAAAAATGAACAAAAAAAGCTTGAAGAGAAACCAAAACAACCCAAAAAAAGAGGTCGAAAATCAAAAGCAGAGCTGGCGGAAGCCCAAGTTTCCACACCCAAAGCAGTGAAGACCACGAAATTAACCCTAAAAATAATTCGAGAAATGTCTGTTTTTTATGGACTTGCCATACAAAGAAACTCAGATTCGATAGAAAATATGAAAAAAGAAATCCTTGCCGGTTATTACCACCGAATTTCGACAGATGAATATCCTCGACATGAATACTGTAATCTAGAGTGGTGCAAGTTTTTGAAAAAGAAAGAGACAAATGAACCATATACTCATAAACCAGCACTTGATCTAAGCGTACAAAACCTTGTTTTGCCAGTATTTGAATCGCTTAGTAGTGATGAGTTGCTAACAAGATGTCTCGGGCGAAATACGCAAAATTGTAATGAAAGTTATAATAA